GGGGGCGCTGGGGGCGATGAGGGAAAGGCAGGACATGCTCTTGGTTTGCTTAGCAAGGAGCCTGGGCCACCACACCTCACTCTGAAGGGCTTGAATCGTTCAGTGGGGGCTGGAAAGTGTTTGGTGAGTTACTCACCTTCCTTGTGACTTAGTTTCCTTTATCAGTTAAATGGGAAGAGTAATAGTACCTCCCTCCCAGCCTTGACTAGGAATTAAATTAAATGAGTGTGTATACGTAATGTGGCTTGGCACATGAACGCTACGAGGTGTTAACCATTACTGTTATTTTTGCTCTGGCCCTTCTGGGGTAAGTTTAGGCCAGAACGGAGACCCTGGGTGTCCAGTCTGGTGGGTGCAGCAGCAGGGAATTCTGGGTAGTGTGCTGGTTTTATCCCTGAGGAAGAGGGACCCAGGCAGTAGCTTCAGGTGCAGGGGGGAGCCCAGCCCCTGAGGGGCTGGGGCTGGCAAGAGCCGGATAGACAGTCAGTGTCCCTGACGCACTGCTCAGGGTCTGGAGTGGGCTCCGGTTCCAGTATCTACCTGGAATAATACGAATTGTAATAAATAAAACTACCTGAGCGCTGCTCCGAGCCAGGCCCTAGGAGAGAGCTACTGTTGTCATTACCACTTTACAGATGGTGATGTGGAGGCAGAGAGAGCAGATGGGGGTGGAAGGAATAAAGACGGGAGCCTCTTCATGCTCAGGTGCTGAGCGCCCGGTAGTCAGGGAGAAGGTGCGGCGTGGTCTGTGGACACGCGGGTCTGGCGGCTCAGGCTGGCCAGACCGGGCCCCGTCCTGGGGCAGCAACACCCACTCGCGGCTCTGGCAGACACCGCTGTCTACCACCGCCTGGTCTGGATGCCTGGGGAGGGGCAGCCAGGGTCTGACTGGGGAATGGCTGGCTGTGAGCAGAGGGATCACCTGTGACCACCGGCTGGCAGAAGCTTCCCTACCACAAAGGGATAAGCCGCAACTCCGACGCCCTTGACCCAAACGCAGAGATTGGCGCCCCGGAGGCACAGGCGAACGGCCGGCTCGGGAAGCTTTCGTTCAGGCTCTCAAACACTCATATTATCTCTGTGAGAAGGAGAGGAACTCTTCCTCTTTGAAAACTGTCATCTTTCATCATCAGAATATCTTTAAAAGCCTTCAATATTCCTTTTTATGCAATTTGCATGAAATGAGCTTTTAAAATACAATCTGCTTTAAAATGCACTTTGCAGATGAGTTAATGTGCATTTTTTTTAGTGGCGCCTCGAATTCCCGCTGATGCAGTTTCCAGTGGTCTCAAGGCTGGCACTCCCCCCAGGTTGGAAATACCTCGAATGAATTGCTTTGCACGCAGACAGGAGAGCAATCTGCTCGTTAGGTGAGCTGTGGACAGCACGTCCTTTCTTCCTGCTGGATTGACAGGGACCAAGGCTGATTTTTTTTTTTAAATCAAAGGGAGGCTACTAGACTGAAGATATAAATAGACTGTGATAATGACCCTACTCTGAAGAAAGACCAGTAACCACTTTTTTTTAAATCGTCACCCAAGAACATACTTCTTATTTGGGGGGCGGGGGAGAGAGAGAGAGGCATTGATCGGTTGCCTCCCACACTCCCCCAACCTCGGATCGAATCCACAACCTTTTGGTGTATGGGATGATGCTCCAACCAATTGAGCCATCCGTCCAGGGCAGTAACCACTGTTTTAGGTAAAAGCAAATAGAATGAAAAATTGGATTGTTCTCTGCCGTGTAGACATTCCTGTTACCCTGCATTTGGAGGCATCCAGCCAGGAGGGCAGGCTGAGCATTGCAGAGAAGTCCCTTGTGGCCCAGTGGAGGCACGGAATTGTGCCTTCTTAAACCCGGTGGGAAGTTTTGCCCTGAGGAGTGTCAGATCTAGAAGGCTCCCACACTCCCTCTTGTCTTCTGTTGGTCCAGTGGTGTAAGGCTGAAATGGAATCCACTTCATATCTTAGAGCTTGCTTCTGCATTTCACCATCTTTGTGCTTTAAACTTTTGTGCATCCCTAAACAGCAGGCAGTCAGGCGAGGCCACCAGGCTACCTGGGCAGGACTTTGATTTTTGGGGTCTGTATTGTCCACGGGTATTGAGTCTACTCTGAGTGGTTTTTCTGTATCTATGAATAACCCGGGCATCCCTGTGTCACCTTTGACGTCTGGCTCTGAATCGTGCGTGTCCTAATTGTGCCCTGTGTCTGGTAGTCTGGGACGCCACGAGGGAAGAAGGTGAAGGTGAAGGATGTGCAGTGCAAGGCACACAATGACCAGGGGTTAACTACCAGTCGTCCAATGCTTTTTATGTGCCAGGTGGTGCACTTAGGCCTTTGTTTATTATATTTAATCACCACAACATTCCCCCCCCCCCCCCTT